TTGGGTAACAATGACTGTAGCAAAACACACACACACACCCACAACCACACACACACACACACACACCCACAACCACACACACACACACACACACACACACACACACACACACACACACACAATGTTCACACACACACACACACACACACACACACACACACACACCCACAACCACACACACACACACACACACACCACACACACACACACAATGTTCACACACACACACACACACACACACACACACACACACACACCCACAACCACACACACACACACACACACACACACAACCACACACACACACAATGTTCACACACAGTGCTGTGCACTATTCTTCGGCCCCAAAACACACTGTTTAAAACTGTGAGTCCGCCTGTGCTTGTAAAACCACCATATACACCACCAAATTAGGGCTGAGCGATTAATCGAAAAGTAATCGAAACCGGCATTCAGAGCCTCTAACCGACGTGTTGCCCATGACGGTTATTTAGATTTTTTAATTCTGTTAATTCTTTCCCCACTCTGTGTGTTCATGTACTGTCCCCTTAAAACTTACTACCACGCGCGTCCCGTGACTCCGCCGCGTCCAGTCTGCCACATGGAAGCTAAGGCTACATTCACACAGCAGGTAAAAGTGGCCCAAATCTGATTTCCTCACCAAATCCGATTTTTTGTTTGTCTGTTCAGATTATCTTTTAAATGTGTCATCAGTCTGAACAGATCAGCTCCTAAACTGACCCACATGAACTAAAGAACAGAGCGTCACGCTGCTTCACGGCTCATCCAGAGGTAAACAATCACGACCGCCAACGAACGCCAGGCGCTGTTGAGCTGTTAAAGCCCTCAGAGGGGGCAGTGAGCTGCTGAAACTGCCTCAGGTCTGAGTTTTGTTAGAACTGTTAAACCGGGACACCACAAACAAGCGGCCTACAAACAGTGCACATCACGCTAACGTTAGCCCGTTTAGCTGAGCGTGTGAGTCAGGAGTGTTTCAGTCACATTTCAGATGAA